ACAAATGAGTTTTCCTCAAAACTTCTTATTTTCAAGTTTTTATCATAATTTTCTTTTTGTCTATTTGCACTTAAACCAGATTGTGTATGTGCTAACTGAAATGCATTTCTAAGAGCTCCTTGAACCCACTCAACATATGCAATTGGACAAGGTATACTTTTATATCCTTGAGGTAAGCCAAACATAACATCAATTGGACATCTTAATTCATGTCCAAACATCAAGAGATTTGGAGAACATTTTGTGCTTGCATGTTGAGTGGCTCTGTATGCCATGTTAATAAATGGAATGTGATCGTCCCAATCATTTCTATGTTCATTAACAAATAAACGTAGAATTGATTGTAAAGTTTGATTGAAACGTTCAACCATTCCGTCAGACTGGGGTCTGTATGGACATGTTCGAGTTTTGTCAATTCCTAATTTGTCACAAATGGCGGCAAATAGGCCAGATTCAAATTCTCGGCCTTGATCTGTATGAATTTGGAATGGACAACCAAATCTGCAAATGAATTCTGTAACAAGTTTGTCAGCTACTGTAAGAGCTTGGTGATTTGGTATTGCATAAGATTCTGTCTATTTAGTGAAATAATCTTCCACTACCATAATGTATTCATTTCCACCCGTAGTAATGGGCAAAGGACCTATGATGTCAATTGCTATTCTGTCCAAAGGATATGTAGAAACACTGGATTTCAAAGGTGATTTCCCTTTCCCTGGTCCAGGTTTCCCTTTAGCACAAATATCACAACTATTAATCCATAACTTTATAGAATCTGACATATTTGGCCAATAAAATCTTTTCTTTATGAGATCTAAAGTTTTGTCTCTTCCAAAATGAGCTGAATATTTTGTACAATGTAACTGTTGAAAAATGAAATTTCGTATCTGTTCCGGAGCTACAAATTGATAAACAAGCCCCTGATTTTCTCTTTCAAAAAATTTACATAACAGGTTATTCTGAATGGTCAAGGATTCCCATAACCCATAAAGAATTTTTGTTTCTTTTGATTTGTTTTGAATTTCGGACTTTTTGGGTTTTTCATCAGATTGTAACAAATTGTTCAATATAAAACTTATATTTTGGTCATTCTCTTGCATTTCTCTTAATTGCGAATTCGACCAATAACTGAGCCAGTTGGATGTTATGTCAAAACTAAGTTCTTCTGTATTGACATTGACCGGTCTGATAGCTAAATGGGTCGCAAGACAACCTCTGACGCTATCAGTGTCGCCGTCAGTTTCCGTGTCATTGATAACTGATTGAATACTTAAGCAGGAGGCATGGCCATCCTTGACGGTATTCAAGTCATCAATACAATCCGTAGTTTTGACATTTTCAAAATATTCTATATCTGTTTTCATTTCGGTACATTCAGGACAATTGCTTCGTTTACATTTCCGTTTTGGTGTGCGAGATAAACCATCTGCGTTTGTATGCAATGAACCCTTGCGGTGTTGAATTTCCATGTCGTAGGTGTCTATGATAGAAATCCATCTTGCGATCATACCTTCCGGGTTTTTGAAATTTTTGAGCCACTTGAGCGACGCATGATCAGTACGTACTAGGGCAAAAATGCCACACATGTGTCACGCATGTACCTAAAAACACATGTGTCACAGGTGTGTCACATGCGTAATACACATGTTTCTTGCCATGCATGTGAATCATGCGTGGTACACATGCGTTCACATGCGTAATACACGCATGTGAATCGCATGCGTCAGAAAAACACCTGTGTCACGCATGTGTTGGAAAACGCATGTGACACATGCGATATTTGCATGTGTAACACATGTATAGTCAAACGCATGTGTAACGCATGTGTTACACAGGAAAATTTTGTTGATGTGAATTTAAGTTAAATTTTTCACATGAATTTTACGTTAAATTTTTCATGTGAAATTCACATGAAAAAAAAGTTAATTGTGTCCAAGATGAAAAAAAGTAACATCAAAATTAAAACTTGTTTATTAACATCTAATACCTTGTAAGACATATATTCCATTGAAAATCTTATTTTACTTTTTAAAAAATTATTTTCGCATGAAACCCCCCTTTTTTTGAATGATCAATGCATTTAAATGGGGAAACATAATTGGAACCCCCCTTTTATCCTGTGTTGGGACCCTCCCCCTTTTAAAAATGGCTGGATCAGCCCCTGATTATCCTTAATTGTCACCATAATAAATGGTATTTTATCCAATCAGCTTCGGAAAATAATCGCAGTAAAAAAAGGCAAAGTAAATAAAATTGCAATAATTGTCAGATATGGGTCCAGGATCCTTAAAAAGAAGTGAGACTAGACTTGTAAAAAGTCTCTCTCTATATATAATTCCTAAAGGGAGTAGGCCAGGGGATTCTGTGAATCATCCCCCTTCCCCCATAAAATGTTCTTCTTATTTGAACAATTAAAAGTTTAATCTTTAAACATTTATTTTAATTAAGATTTTCATTGGTATTTCTTTTAATACATATACACAGGTAAAAGAAGTATGCATTTATATTGGGAGAATTTGGTGTTAATTGCAGATCTTTTGATCTTCACCACTTTGAAAAAAAATGATTTAGAACTTGGAATATCTAGATGTGTTGTGTTGTGTTTTTGTTATTATTGTTTGAATAACTTTCTCAAAGGTGTGTTACAATAACCAGAGACATATAATATGTCTCTGCAATAACCTTACATCTCTTTTTATTCCTATATATCTGCCAACTATCTTGGACAAAAGACAGACAGATACACCCAGTAGATATATTTAAGTCTTAGGTGCTTCATACAGTTACGGAACTAAATTATAAATTTGCATATTTTATTTAGTTATTTCTTATTTGTAACCCTTGTGTTACAAAAATGACTGATTGTATGTAACATTGACATTGGATTGTACAAGTGTAAATTTAAAAATTACCTGGTTTGGTAGTTCAAACAAACGTGACCAATTAACATTGTCAATACTTGATTGTTGACCATTCTGATTATCTGTCCAAGTACAAAACTATGCTAACAATATAATACACATGAGAATATAGAAAGTACTTGAAAAGTTTCAGAGTGTTTGGGGTAGTCTGTCCTGTTCAATACGGCTCATAAGATAAAGGGGAAAGCAACACTATTATCGTGTTTAAATCACGACAAACAATAGTCACTATGTACATACTTTCGTCCCTTTAATTTTTAGGCTTATACAATGTACAGAATAATATACCATTATAACTTTATCATACATTTCTTCATCTTTGGTGTGGAATAAAAGCAAAGGATATAATTACCTGCTTATATTTTACTTGTGTTTCAAGCAAGCATTTGGTGGGTTGAGAGGGGTTTACTGTAACGGCGGTTATGAACTTACATAGGCGGATCCAGGGTGGGGGGCCTGGGGGGCCCGGGCCCCCCTTTCGTGGGAAAAATTTGGTTGATTATATAGGGAATCACTGAATCATGACTGGAGCGCCCCCCCCCCCCCCCCCCCCCCCCTTAGGTCAGTCAGCGGGCCCCCCTTATGAAAAGTTCTGGATCCGCCACTGACTTACCACCACCCACGTGCCACCACATCAGTGTCCTGCAGGCACTTGCCCGCAGGTGGTGTCAAAAGTTACATGTGCTTGTGTTTTTTCAAAGTTCATAAAATGTGGAACAAATGTCCTCAATTTCTCTATTCTATTTATAAGGGGAACATAAATATCAATGATCAGTGTTGGAGCTGGGATTATTGTATAATAGTCTCCATAATAGTCCCAGGTTGGAGGCATTAATGTCATTAATACCATTGTGAGGGTACTACTGGAAAGAAGTTGTTTAAGAATAGATCAACCAAGGATTTGTTTATTGGATCAACGGTGATAACATTTTAAAACTGTGATACCCAAACAACCTTGGTATGAAATACTGTACAGAAATTCCCAGTAACCGTTGGGCTTAACATTACATAAAAACTAAAGATTGTGCCATTGACGGATCCAGAAATTTTCATAAGGGGGCCCACTGACTGCTAAAGAGGGGGCCTCCCTAGTCATGCATCAGTGATTCCCGATATAATAAATCAAATTTTTGCCACAAAAAGGGGAGGGGCAGGGTGCTCTAAATCCGCCTTTATGTGCAACACGAACCTCCAAAATACATGGGTGAACTCAAGTATTGTGAATGATAAAGCAGAGACATATATGTATATATGTCTCTGGATAAAGTTAGGAACTTTCTGCTCAACATGTGGCAACCTAGGTTTGAGTATACATGTAATTGCCAACTTGAAATTAAGTAAGTAAAACTTTGATTTGATTCGCCATATTGGCAAACATGTGAAGATAAGATCTGGTGAGCTTTTCGTCGAATATCATGAGGAGATAGTGTTAAAAATATTTGCATAGTTCATGAGTTGAAAATTATAAAACAAAATATATTGTTTAACCTTGGACAAAAAGATCAAGTCCAAAACTGGCTGTTATTTGTGTAGGCTACCTTAATCTTGAAGAGTATGCAATTCTAAATCAAGGAGGAGGTAGGCAATTTCCTAATAATATTACAAAAGAACTTGTCACAGATTCTTAACTAAACGTCTATCAGATTAATAAAATTTCTAATTCACTGACATCTGTTGGACATAGATACTCAAATTGCAGAATCTTATTAGTAATAAAAAAAAAATCTGTGTTTTCTGTGACATCATTACGAAAAATATATGTTTATATTTTATTTATTACACTCTAACTGTCTAACATTTAATTCTCCTCTGATTAGAATTTAGAGTAATTATCGTTTGTCAATTTTCCAAACTTCCCATGCCCCCCTCAGCAGAGTTATTTAATTCTGAATGGAACAAAATGTGAATGAGTTATAAATAATATATAAATGATTGAATATTCTTTATTTAGTTTTTCTTTATTCTCAATTCTTCCAGAGACATGTATATGCTCTGAGAATAATGTCTTTGCATGATTCTTCATAATTAAGTATACTCTCATTATTCTCTATGATCCTTCTTTCCATATTTTTGCTTTTCAACTATCTATATATTTTTTTTTGTGTCCTTATTTAAATCCCCATTCTTGATTCCAGACTAACTCTCATATATATACGTAAATGTACGAAAGTTTGGCACGTCGAATACGGAAACCCGGAAATCTTTTCACCGTTGTCGTTTTTATACTATGACGCAAAATCCATGGACGCTCGTCTGCTGCTGAATTCATGTTTTAAAAGAATGGACAAAGATAGTCAGATAGTTGATACAAAGACCTTTGATTTTTCAAACTGATGGATCAAAAAGTTATTATAAACAGATATATTGAAATGGGTTAGTAACTTACATTGTCGATTAACTGAATCCGGGGAACGAAAGTCAACGCAACGAAAGTGTTTCGTTTTGATGGATTACGTACCAACTTATTGTACTTGGAAAGCGCAATGAAATGTAAATATAATCATGCGCATTTTTAGGAAGATGCTTGTGCTATACTTTTCACGAAAAACCATTTGACTTTATCCATGTCATGCATGTATAAACCCGAAAATCAGTCAAAGATTGGCAAAAACGGAAGCAAGTCAACTCGCCCCATTGGCATTGCAATTGGCAAAACGCCCCATTATTTTAAAATCGCTCCACTCTTGTTTAGGGAGCTACCATTTGATTTTTATGGGAGAGGGGGCTTTGACGGAATTTGAAAAAATGCGGGACAGGAGTTTTGAGTAAAAAAATAAAAGCCAGGACCGAAAAGAGTGAATAATAAACTGTCAGGACAGATATTACAACTAAAATTAGAAACAATGCAGGATAACTGTTCATAACATTTTCATCCTAGCCCCCCACCAAGTCAAGTGGTAGCTCCCTTCATACCAACTTGCTTGCCCCACATTAAAAAAATCGCCCCACTTGTGAAAAGGATTAAATCCTGTTAAATATACAATGTCAATGTACTCCTGCCAACAGTGGCAACTTGCCTAACTTGGGTAAAATCCAAATGAATATAATCATGATAATATATAATAAATATATTATAAACAGATAAAGGTCTACCAACTTGCCCTACATGTAAAAAAATGAAAACTTATCTACCCAGAATTAAAAAAAAAAATTGAAATTTAATATATGATATTTATTGAATTTAAATGATGTTTCACTTCTTAAAATATAATTGTAGATTCATTATTTACTATTATTTAATTTATGTATTTATTGGAAAATAACTTTATTCTTGCATTAGCTTAGTTATTTGCAAAATAATTGCAAAGAAACCTGTTAATTGTATCATAATCTATCTGATTGTTTTTTAGCCGACTCAAAATCATGCTGTTAATTAGGGCCCCCTGTTGTACATGTACTTAGGAATCGGACACCTCCAGAAGATGAAAGATCTACTTTACATGTACGTAATGTAAATATAAAAATAAGAAAATGTGGTATGATTGCCAATGAGAAAAGAGAGGAATTGGTAAAAGTCCGTGAAAATTCACTTGTTTTCCAATCCTAATAAAACTGTCATATTGTAATGTTTAAATAACCTAATTATTTTCAAAATAAAATCTTGTTTACACTAATGAGAAAAGACAACTCTCCATCAGAGATCAAATGACATCAAAGTTAACAACTAGAGGTCACTGTACATCCTTCAACAATGAGCAAACCCCATACCATATAGTCAGCTATAAAAGACCCCAAATGAAAATGACAAATTTGTAAAATAATTCAAACAAGAAAACTAGCAGACTAATTTATATACAAAACAAAGAAAAAAAACAACAAAATATGATCATGTGATGATACACAGCAACAAACGACAAACTGAACCACTGAATTACAGGCTCCTGACATGGGACAGGCACATACATACAAATATGTACAGGATGGGGTGGGGCTAGACTAGTAGTTTGTGGTGCCGAACCCACCTCCTAACCTGGTATATTGATGTGAAAAGGGCTTAACTCGTCAGATCTATACAAAGTAGAAAGACATCTAACAAACCACACACAAGACGTGGTGGGTACTTACACATCCCCACAACAAAAAAGACCCAGTTCAGATCTGAGAGTACTCCCAGTTACTAACACCTAGTTCAAAGCCAAAAACAAAGTACATTGTACATGTACAATGTATTTACCACCAAATCTTGCCTGGTTTAGTCCATTTCTCAGATACTACCTTATAATATAAAATAGTCCAACTTTTGGTGTAATTTAAACAACTTTGAATGACTTAAAATTTCAAAGTATCATGATTATTAATAACTTAATCCCCAAAGATTGGCATTATAAATCATGACAGATTCAGAGATCCTGTAATATATACTGTACATGTAATCACTTTTGTTCATCCCTTCATTCAAGGGTCATATGGAATTTATATGATGGATTAGAACATTAATAAAATGGTTAAATACTTTTTTGTAGTCATTTTTTTTTCAGGGAAAGTTTGTTGGTCTAGTTTTAAAAGATCAAAGCAAGCCAATTTTGCCGGATCAAAATATTAAAGGCAATTTTGGCAGATACATTGTATTATAACTTCATTTTATTAAACATTATTTATTTTAGCTTTTTCAACGAAAGTACAATTACTTTGAGAAGTAGGAGAAGCTAAGCAACAGGACAGAATTCATTTGAGGCATTGCTTTCTAGATTATATAGTGGAGTCATAGATTGTCCTATTGATTTATGTGGATATGAGGAGCAGTAGTCAATGAATAATTTTGTGATGAGAGGTATGTAATGAAAATGATAACTATGTTTGAATAATTTTTTCTTGTCAGGCTCTGTACATGCAGTTTCGAAGATTTTTTTAAAAGTTTGAGGTCAAAGAGTTTAAAGTTTGATTCTTGTAATGTTGTGGGCAAGTTCGAAAATTATCCATGTTAGAAGTGACAAATTTATTTTTTTTACAGGTCATTTTTATAGAAAATTGCATTCAAAGCTCTCTTAATCGCTTGTTCTTTTTTGTCTAGCCACAACAGTTATGAAGCTGTGACTTAGGCATGCTGTTTTCAATAGAGGCATAGTCGTAAAAAAATTGTTGATATTCATGATGAGGTCAGTTTAAGGAAACCAAGAAATAAAACCTTTGCACCTTTTGTTGGCGGTATACCATCTTTTCCGCAAGTTCATTGTTTTCTGTTTAGTATTAAATTTATAATTAAGATTTATTATTACATCGGTGATCCGTTTATTTGGCAATTTATACAGGAATAATGTCACTTTGAAATGTATGAGTTAGAAAGTAAGTGCTATTAAAATTTAGGTTTACAGAAGTTATTCCATGGAAATATATATTGTTTAATGTAATGAAAATTGCATTGCAAGCAATCCCAAACAGGTCTACATTTCTTTTAGATTATTTATGAAATTGAAGCTGTGACTTCCTTTTTCCTGTAATTTTGAACATTTTTAATACAAAAGTCTCTCTAATACTGGAGTAACCTCTGCAGTGTAGCAGCATGTGCTGTTCATTTTCAATTTCGCCACTTTTACAGATTGTAGCTATATGCTATCGATGCGTCGGACCATATGTATATAGATATAACTTTGCGATTAGAATATGGGCTTAAGAAGTTTTGAACTTTTACGGCCCATGTATTCCTATAGTTATAATGTGTTCGATTCCAATTTCTTTTGCAGAAAATTACTCGACATACAACTACTATAGTATGTATAGTATATAACATCATGATCCAGTCCGTGCTTAATATAAATGAATGCCATTAAACCACCAAAGACTCCAACATGTAAATTCAAAGCGATGATTAGTTATGGTTTGAAGCGTCATTTAGTGAACTGCACCCAGGAATAAAATATTTTACAAGCCTTACTTTTCGAAATATTAAAGCGCCGTCCCAAATAACCAAATATCAAACTAAGTGTTAACCTCATCAGTACGATCGATCAACAGCTGATCTGCAATATCGTAGTTGAAAATTAAATTGTGTAGTAATTCCACTAAAGTAAAGAAAACTTAGTTACATAAGTATACAATAAGGCGTCACTGTCATTCATAATATTTTTTAAACGGCTGACGAGGTCCCCCTCCTTTTATTTAATTTTGAACTCCTTACTCATCTGTTAACAATATTTTTGTCTGGGTTAATATTGTCGGAATGTCTGTCCATTTTGCAGCATAAAGATACTATAGAAGTCGTCATGAATGAAAAAAGTTCGTCTCTTCACACTGGGTTGATTTGCTTGCAATTATAAATACATGTAGCCTCGGGGTCTGTTTCATTGTTATTAGCTTCATTTATGGTTAATCCAGACATTTTACCGCTTTCACTACAAAAGTTTGGGGGTACGCGGGGTCCCCCCTTTTTTTCAAATTCCTGGATCCGCATCTGATGTCGCGGTGGATCTTCTATACAAAAGAGGCAGATGCACTGTAGTCATCGGATTAAATTTTATAGATTAATTTAAGTTTTTAACAGTCGTTTTACATCGTGTAAACATTCGTCAGCCAGTGTTATTTTACTTTCATAACAAGTTTTATTAAAAAAAACGGATTGTGTGCAGTGGCGCATCATCCAAAAAAAAATGTCCGGACTATACAAAAACCTGTTTATGCAAAGTTTTTTTTACGTTTATAATGCTTTGATCCACTCAGGTTTGTTGGCTCGTCTGAAGGCATCACAGTAATAAGACGTATATGAAATCAAACGAGGGCAGTCATCGTGCAACTCGTTGTGTAATTCGCAAATTGATTTTTTCCACACCTGAAGTTTTTTACGATTATTTGTACAACTATTAACTGCACAAGAAATGCTTCCGTGTTTTTTATAACTTTCGGCAGCATCCATAGTAAAATAAATCAGAAAATGAAAGAAATATAAATGTAAACAGAAAATCGATAATGTTTTGATCAATACACGTTTGTAATGGCGGATCGGTCACGTGAGAGGTTAATGGATGCGGCCATGTTTTCTAGGTGAATTACAGATAAACCCGTCTATATTGCTATCAACTCGTTCGAAGACATTTGGTTTCCGGACAATAACTTCAGTTTAAGTGTATGAATGTCTATGAAATTAGATTCAAAGGTTCAATACCACAAAAGGAAGGTTGGGATTATTTTTGGCGTCATGGTTCAACCAGTGTAGGAATTAGGGGCCAAAAAAGGCCCAAATCAAGCATTTTTCTAAATTCAGGACAATAACTTGTTTATAAGTATTTTAATTGCTATGAAATTGTACCACAAGTAGAAGGTTAAGTTTCATTTTGGGGGTATTTGCCCAAACCATTCAGGAATTAGAGACCAAAAAGGGTCTAAAACAAGCATTGTCAGACTGGCCTATATTATTAATTGATCATGATAAGTTGTTCTCGTTTAGAATACATAAAATATTTGCCTCTGGACATTGAAATAAGAAAAAAAGTCAATCAATTTATGTTTTTGCATTATCAGAATGAATTTGCAAATATATAACAATTAAATTATGTTGTATCCTTGGAGCTTTTTCAATGACCTAGCATATAAATATAAAAAGATGAGGTATGATCCTCAATGTGACAACTATCAATTAATAGACCAAAGGACAAAGATGTAAACATTTACTGGTCAATGTACAGCCTTAAACAATGAACAAAATCAATACCATAAAGTAACCTACAAGGATGAAAAATATAAACTACATACAGTATTGGCAGACAGCAAACAACATAAGAACCAACTTTCAAAATTAGCCAAAAAGGACTGGATTCATCAATAGGTCTTATAATAAAAAAGGTGCAAAAAACATGTTTTCCCAAACTAAAATATCTATCAGTTTACATTCAACAGATTTAGTGTAACAATGTTTCACAGTTTGTCATTTTATGCAGTCTTAAGAAAAGTATGACTGTGTAATGTCAAAATATTCAATATATCAAAAGGGTATAAAACCTATTTCTCAATGCAAGTATGCAAGGATGTACAGACAGATAAATGTAAAACTTGATGCCCCCTCCATTACGACAAGGGCATAAAAAAGAGATGCACAATGGGACTATGTCGGAAGTTTTAATAAATTATGAATTACATGTTTATGCAGAAAAAACACATACAAATGTGTGTTCTTGTGTGCAGATATAACTAATTCCATGTCAAAATTCCATGTATGTTTGACAAAGTTGTTGATATCCAAAAAACATTAAAAAACTTTAAATGGGGATTTTCCAGTTTTGGGACAATAACTCAAAATGTGTTCACCAAATGGCAAGAAACTTTTGTGACTTGTTTGTATCTATTGACATGAGCTCCCTTTCGATTTTTATAAATTTAAGATTTTATGTTTTCAAGTTGTGGGGTTATATTCATTTGAAAAAGGGAGATTTTCCAGTTTTCAGACAATAACTCAAAAATGCTTACAGCAGTTTTCATAAAACTTTGGTGAATTGTTTATATTTATTGTCATCTATAAGCTCCCTTTTGGTTTTTATTAATTTTAGATTTTATGTTTCAGAGTTGTGTGATTTTATTCATAAAAAAGGGGGATTTTCATATTTCAGACAATGCTTTGAGCAGTTATCATGAAACTTTGGTGACTGGTTTATATCTATTAAGATAACCTCCCTTTAGTTTTTCATGAATGTCTGATTATGACATTGAAAAGTTATTGAACTTTATTCTTTGAATAAGCGATTGGTGTATCATGTGCTCATGGTGCAGCTGTCTATTTATTTTGGGCCAGGTTTTCAAATTGGTCTACATGCAGGGGTTAAAATTTGCATTAAAAAATTAAAGGTCCTGGACTATTTGAAATTTCCAGTCCAGTGAAAGGTCCTCCATTTTTTTTGTCAACATTGAAACCATTCTGAAGCGTACGAAAGGTATAAATAAAATGTACTTCTAGAATTTTATGTTTGACATCATGAGTACGCATATGACATCACATTGTTTAGTTGCTAAAGACAATGCAAAATATTTGTTAAATGGTATTTATTTTAATATGCTGCATTAGAAAGTAGATAACTGTATTGTATTTTAAGCTTGGCCTTCATTGAACTTGATTTTACCATAGGCGGATCCAGGGGGGGGGGGGGGGGGGGACGGCCCCCCTTTTGTGGTAAAAATTTTGTTGATTATATAGGGAATCACTGAAGCATGACTGGAGTGCCCCCCCCCCCCCCTTTAGTAATAAAAAGTTCTGGATCCGCCACTGTTTACTGTCACATCACTTGGTAAATACAGAATTCTCCTAAATGGATAAGCTAATTGTTTGCAAAACTCTTTGAATACTTATTATAGTCTTGCATCCACATGCTATTAATAAAGTACTGTTTTCTCCCTTTTAGGTCACTGTATGACTTTCAACAATGAACAAAACCATACTACTGTAAAAGCAGAAATTTTCGTGGAGGATTTAATTTTGTTTATTTCGTGGAAAGAATATACCCATGAAATTAAAACCCCCACGAAAATTTAACCTACATATAATATCACTTCCTTTTACTGGAAACCACGAAATTAAATCCCCATGAAATCTTGTAAAGAGACAAAACCACGAAATTTTAACCCCATGAAAATTAATGTTTCTACAGTATATAGTCAGCTGTAAAAGATCCTGACAAAGTGAGCAACAATCCAATCCAGAAAACTAGTGATGTTCCAATTACCATGTGCAGTATTGGTTATAATATAAAAATATCACTTGTTTTCTCTCTCTTTACCAAGGGATAACTGTATTCCTAATTTATTCTTATTGGAAAGCAGACTGCATCAGGTTAAGATTTTATATGATAATCACAGGAATTTTAATTTTCAGAATTAGCTCCTCAGATGTAAGTGGAAGGGAAGCTATATACATTATATGTTTAAATGAAATTAACAACAGGATTAGATATTGAGGAGATCCTATAGCTACAGTATATATAAATGTAACTGGTATGTATTTGTTACAGTATTTAATTTCCAAATGGTATAACAAAAATACTGAATTCCAAGGCAATTTCAAAAAATTCGTAAGGGTTCCGCAGAACCCAGTGTCTCGCCTACTTTTGCTGTTAATTGCATCATTTTCTCATCACTTGGCGTCCGTCGTCCGTTAACTTTTACAAAAATCTTCTCTGAAACTATTGGGCCAAATAAAACCAAACTTGGCCTAAATCATCCTTAGGGTATCTAGTTTAAAAAATGTATCCGTTGACCCTGGCCATCAACCAAGATGGCCAATATTGCTAAAAATAGAACATGGGGGTAAAATGCAGTTTTTGGCTTCGATCTTTGAAACCAAAGCATTTAGAGCAAATCTGACATGGGGTAAAAATGTTCATCAGGTGAATATCTATCTCTGTTGAATTTTCAGACGCATCAGACAACCCGTTGTTGGGTTGCTGCCCCTGAATTGGTAATTTTAAGAATTTTTTTTTCAATTTTTATACGACCACAAAAAATTATTGGTATCACGTTGTCGTCGTCGTTGCCCAAAGACACTTGGTTTCCGGACAATAACTTTAGTATTAGTAAATAGAAATCTATGAAATTTAAACATAAGGTTTATAACCACAAAAGGAAGGTTGGGATTGATTTTGGGGGTTATGGTCCCAACAGTTTAGGAATTAGGGGCCCAAATAAGCATTTTTCTAGTTTCATGACAATAACTTGTGGAACAGTGTATGGATCTCTCTGAAATTATACTACAAGTTTCCATACCACAAAGGGATGGTTAGGATTGGCTTTGGGGGGTTATGGCTCAAACCATTTAGGAATTGGGAGCAAAAAAGTGAGAAAAAACAAGGGTGTCCTGGTTAATGGACAATTACTTAAGTACAAATTACAGTGTAAGGGAGGTAATTCAAATACATCTTGGAAATTTGAATTGAAATTATGACCATAACTGAGGGAAAGATTTTTTTTTTGGAAAAGGGGGGGGGGGGGACAATTTTTTCTCCTCAAGATTTCAGAAATCAAAATCAAAAAGAAAATCATTCAAATTTTTTTTTTTTTTTAAAAAGAGGATGGAGGTCAATTCGCAACAGCATAGTGTATTACACAAAAGCAAAATTTTGAATATTAATTCAAATCATATAACTAATTCTAAGTTCTTTGACTACAGTTATTCTGTGTCAGAAACCTATTATGTGTCAAATATTGAATTGCAATCCAAATTCAGACCTGTATCAAGCGCGAATATTGTGTCCATATTTGCCCCAACTGTTCAGGGTTGGACCTCTGTGGTCATATCCAGCTGCGCTCGGCAAAGCAATTTATTGGTTATTATCTTGAACATTATAATAGAGATAAACTGTAAACAGCAATAATGTTCAGCAAAATAAGATTCACAAATAAGTCAACAGGATCAAAATGGTCAATTGACCCCATGAGGAGTTATTGCACTTTAAAGTCAAATTTAACAATTTTTTCGTAAATTTTTGTAATCTTTTACAAAAGTCTTTTCCTGAAACAACTGAGACAAATTTAACCAAACTTGGCCATAATAAGCATTAGGGTATCTAGTTTAAAAATAGAACATAGGGGGAAAAATGCAGTTTTTGACTTATATCTTTGAAACTAAAGCAAAAGTATATCGGTTGCATTATTTCATGCATCAATTGTAAAATAAAAAAAATATCAGGTGAGCGACACAGGCTCCTTGGAGCTTTTAGTTGGTATTGTAATTTAAATGAGGTTAAGACATGTAAGAAAGGGGCTTGAAAATGAGGAATTGTGTTTCTACAAGCACTTAGTAATCCAGATCTATAATACTAAAATAACAAGGTCCAATTTGTGAGCCGGCATGACATAAAAATGACGATTCAAAGAATTCAACTTTATTTATAACTTATATATATAGGACAATGGTGTTGATTAAAAATTACACCATTCCAGGCCCATTTGTTTTCCACATAACTATTACTACAGATAATTAACAATTTCTGGGTCGAAGGGTTCAAAAAGAAAGATTTTGAAAGCAGAGAAAACTGTGCACCTAATGACCAGCATGACATTATTAGATGACAAAACGAAAAATCTTAAAATTCAGGCTAAAAATAAGGCTAAGGTACTTTGCTTCAGTCACAACACCATGATGTCCCGGAGTATTCTAGTATATATTATATATACAGGTAATGTGTAGTACACATGCATGAATAGAGTTAGTTTTCATTATTACGGTAATTTATGTTGATAAAAATGAGAATATGTAGTATTATTGCCAATGAGACAACTATCCACCAGAGTCCAAATGACTGAATGTTAGCAACTATAGATCACTGTATGAACAGCTTTCAACAATGAGCAAAACTGATACTGCATCTAGCAAGCTATAAAAGGTCCTGAAAAATACAGATGTAATACAATTCCAATTTACATAAAAGACATTAAACGAAAAATAAATATGATAAACAACAACTATTATATTCCACTCCAGTTGTTCACACGATATATATATATATATATATGTAAGTTTGGTAAATCATTGGAGATTAAATTGATGTTATCATTTTTTGCCTGATTGGTGATCCAATATTTGATGTATGTTTTACAAAAAAAATATATGCTGTTTTTGTCTCGCTTGACGGAGTCAAAAAGCGAGGCATAGGTATGCTGTTTCTGGCGTTGGTGACGACAGCGGCGTCAACAATGTATTAGTTTGTGATTAGGTCTAGTTTATAGTGAACCACAAGTAGTAAGTCGAAGATATTTGGTATGCAGTTGTATTAGTATTGGCACATCTCATTACCATGGAGATTATTTGGCCCCGCCCCCCTCAGTTATGGTTTATTGACTTAATTTGAAATTCTTGCTTAGTCTTCATGTATTAGTTTGTGATTAGGTCAGTTTATGGAGAACCACTAGTGGTAAGTTAATTATGATTGGTATGCAGTTGTACAAGCATTGGCATATCTCATTTCCATGGAGATTATTTGGCCCCACTCTCTCAGTCATGGTCTATTGACTTTTAAATTTTTGCTTAGTTTTCATGTATTAGTTTGTGACTAGGTCAGTTTATGGGGAACCACTAGTGGTAAGTTCATGATAATTGGTATGCAGTTAAATACGCATTGGCATATCTCATTTCCATGAAGATTATTTGGCCCTGCCCCCTCAGTCATGGTCTATTGACTTTGAAACTTTTGCTTAGTTTTCATGTATTAGTTTGTGATTAGGTCGGCTTATGGGAAACCACTAGTGGTAAGTCAATGATATTTGGTATGTAGTTGTATTAGCATTGGCACATCTCATTACCATGGAGATTATTCCCCCCCCCCCCTCAGTTATCGTTTATTGACTTTAAAATTTTCTTAGTTTACATGTATTAGTTTGTGTTTAGGTTTTTTAAAGGGAACTACTTATGATAAGTCAATGGTATTTGGTATGCGTTGTATTAGCATTGGCACATCTAATTTCCATGGAGATTGTTTAGCCATGTACCTTTAGTCATGGTTCATTGACTTTGAATATTTGCAAATCTTACATGTTAAAGTGTTGCTATTTTAATTTCAACATTTGCATTATCGAAATTACTAAAAAGCGAGACATATCTCTGTGATTACAGTTTATTTTTTTTATTACAGCAACTGTATTCCAAGAACCTGATGGCTGATAATGTATTACAGGATTTTATCATTCAAGCAACATCTTAGAAGGATAAGTGCAAATGTATGAAGGAAGCCTTGGGTACAAATAGCAATTACAGCAATTACATGCAGGAGAGAACTCTTAACATTACTAACAGACATGTAGTCATTATATGGGAGTGGTGTATTCAAGAAATCTAAAACACATGGAATTAAATATCGTGTATATTTTTTCAACCACAAGTACTCTCAGAATATAATACAATTCAAATTCAAATTATTGTGCCAACATGACAATTACAGTCTAAAAATGGAAAATGCATGTTTTAAACTGATTTTTATATAAATATTTGAAATAACAAGAATTTTTAGTTTATTGTGCAGCCAAACTTTGAGATCTTCTAATGGTATATGCCTGTTGTTTGTCAACATTTGTTTTCTTTTTGCCTTAACCTTAAGATTGGTGTTAAAATGAAAAACTGAAATAGATATATGAAATAAGAAGGAAATGGTTGTAAATAACAGCAAGACTTTCAATATGGTATATCAAAATATATTTCACAGAACTTTCTATTTCAGTTTATTAATACAATGAGATATGAGGTATAAATAAATCAGACAGCTACACAACAAAAACACATGAAAGGCATTAAGGTGCTAACACAGTCCTCAACAATGAACAGGTGTCTAAACAATGTCATGATCTACTTAATTAACCAGAGTCTATACCAATCAAAGAGCTGCCATCAACACCAAATTCGTTAAATATTTTTTTATTAGGATGAGACTTAGACAACCACTGAAAAGGTTCCTGGCTTGAAACAGGCACAGGAATATGTGGCAGGGTGAAATACTTTTTTTCTTCAAAACTTTCAAAAGAAAAATTGGCATCTTTTGCAAGTAAGACTATTTCCATAATGGGATTGGATTGTCTCATGGCTGATAACCACAAAATGACTTGTACATACATATTAAAAATGAAATATACATTAGTGCATACATATTCTATAAATGAATCACCAATCCTTACATGACTTTTAAAAAAAGTATTGAGACTTGAACATAACCGAAAAAATTCTAGGAGTGAACTAAGGTGACCTGGATGTTTGCTTGCCTTCTTTGTTTATTGCATCTTATCTCTTGCATTGGAGATATTGTGAGTTGGGAGTTGATAGATAAATATTTTTTGTATTGTTTAGGATCAAGAAAGTAAAATATAATGGAAGTATGAACACATAGTCAAGACCAAGAAGAATATTTATATATCAAAATAGAATGTGTACTAGACAAGTATTTACTTATCTAAAATATGCTCAAATACTGTGAATTTGTGTGATTGATGCTCAATTCACCTTAATTTCATTTTGCCTATGTATATATAGAGAAAACACATGTATAACGCATGTGTTAGAAAAATGTGTTAGAAATTGCATGTAATTCACATGAGAACTGAGAAACATGTCAACAATCATGGTAATTGGACAAATAGGAGGACATTTTGAAAAATATTTAATACAGGCACCATGCCTTTTACATGTAGTAATCACGCATGTATCACAGGTGTATTTCCTTACGCATGTGATTCACATGTGAAACGCATGATCACATGTGTGTATCATGCGTATCACATGTGTTTTTCACACATGTGTCACATGCGTGGCATGAAACGTCTCTTTCACATGCGTGTGACACGCATGTGAAACGCATGTGTCACGCATGTACACATGTGTGGCATTTTTGCCAGTGTAAAGTAAATTTTTGGCCATATAAATAATGTCTGAATTGGCACAAAAAAATAATGACCGCGAGCAGTTCACGCTTTGTAGTACAATACTGTTTTTGTGCTCTGTTTAAAGTCCGGCTGGAATACGCAATGACATGTTCCTCACCATTCTGGATTTGCGAAAGAACAGCCCCGACTCCTGTTTGACTAGCATCTGTATCTAGTATGTAAGCGCCATCTTCACTTGGAAATGATAATGTTGGTGCAGTTGTTAAGCATTCTTTTAAAGTTTCAAACGCGATTTTACATTTATCATCCCATATAAATGATTTATTCTTTTGAGTTAGCTGTGTCAGAGGATGAGCGATAGTTGCAAAATCTGGTATGAAACGGCGGTAATAACCCGCAAAGCCTAAAAAACTTCGTAACTCTTTGACATTTGATGGTGTGTGCCAATTCTGAACGGATTGAATCTTTTCTGAATCGCATTTAATGCCTTCTGCAGAGACAATGTGTCCCAAAAATTTGACTTCTGTTTGAAAAAACGAGCATTTACTCGGTTTCAGTTTAAGATTTGCTTCTCTAAAACACTGAAATACGGTTTTCAAATTATCAAAAGCTGTTTCAAAGTCTTTTCCATAAATTATGACGTCATCCAAATAGCAGAGACAACGATGCCATTGTAAACCACCCAAAACCTGGTTCATGAGCCGGCTAAATGTAGCGGGAGAGTTGCATAAACCCATCGGCATTACAAGAAACTGATACAAGCCTTTATGTGTCGAAAAGGCAGTTTTGTATTTGTCTTCTTCAGCAACCTCTACCTGAAAATAACCACTGGCTAAATCAACGCATGAGAACCACTTTCCGCCGCTCAAGGTATCAAGAGTGTCATCAATACGTGGTAAAGGGTAGGCGTCTTTTACAGTTCTTTCATTTAATTTCCTAAAGTCCACACAGAATCGAATAGACCCGTCCCTTTTCTTCACAAGGCACACTGGTGCTGCCCATGGACTACAACTGGGTTCAATCAAATTTTTGTCAATCATTTTTTTCAATTCTTCTTCAAGTACATCCCTCTGTTTCAAAGCTACTCTTCGTGGGGATATCTTTACAGGTTTTGAATCACCTGTATCTATATAGTGTTTTACTCTATCAGTTCGCCCAAGAGAACCATCAGGACCAACGAATATATATTTATACTCATGGATAAGTGAAGACAGTTTTTGCTTCTCTTCATCTTTTAAGTCTGATGATACTTTATCTAACATAGATTTTAAATGCTCGGAGAATTCATTATCTTTTAAAGTATTAACTTGTTCTGATATGTCATTAGATTTTGAATCTGTTTGTGACTCAGCATTATCCTCATCAAAAACTTGTTCAATTGTCATCAAGTGTGCAATCTGTTCACCTTGTTTAAGTTTAACTGATTTTGAATTCAAATTCATGATAGCTAGGTAAATTGTATTTTCTGTATCAACTAGGCTTTTTGCCACCAAAAGACCTTTACTTTTCACCCATTCTAATGGTTCAATAATGCCAATACCATCTACAAATGAATCTCTTTTAGAAGCTTCAATAATCATTTCACTATTTGCAGGAATTGAAACTTGCCTAGCTATCTGAATTCGTGAACACTGGGAACTACTTTCTTAAAAAAGAGGAATACTCTGACCATTGATACTTAAGCATTGGCTTTTAATTTGAATATCAATTTCATTTTGTTCAAAGAAATTCATTCCTAAGATCCCAGATGACCCTTTTATATCAGCTACAATAACTTCTTGTTTAACTAATAAAGGACCTATTGCTATATTCAAAATACATTTGCCTTTAACACTTAAAACATTGCCATTGGCAGTTGTTAATATACTATCTAGGCTAATCAACTGAGAACTTAGTTTTAATTTCTCAAAAGTATCAAAAGAAATCAAAGAAACTGGTGATCCAGTATCAACAAGAAATTTAACATCAATTTCATCAATTTTGCAAAAGGCAAAAAGACAATTTTGATTCACTAAATTTATTTGGACTCTCTTAATTGGATCTGATATCAAACTTTCAATTTTGGTTTGTGGCCTTTCTAAATTTTTAACAGCTGAAGTATTGGCCTCTAAATCAGTTTTTAATCGTTTCCCTGATTGTTCAATGGACAATAGTACTGAATGTGTCCTATCTCATTACATTTATAGCAGACTCTGTCAGTCGAGCTATTTTGATTCCTATAATACCTTCCTCTGCCCCTATTATTAAACCTAGGAGGCCTATTTTGATAATATCCGTTCCTATTTTCAGATTCTGTATTAACATGTTTAAGTTGACTTAATTTTTCATCAATTAGTTTAGCAACTTGATCAAGAGTTAATAACTCTGTACTTTCCTTTTTATTATCCTTAATTGCTTGAATGGGGACTTCATTGCTAGTTAGCATTGGCTTTCTCATATTATTTTGAGGATTGATAAATGCTTCATATTCAATTGCGTATGAAATTGCAGAATCCAACGTTTTTGCACGTTGGAACTGGACATGCTTTTGTAAATCCAAGTTATTTAATCCTCTAATGAATTTATTTATAAGAACTTTTTCCATCATTTCAGAATCTTGTTTTTCATTTGGAAAAGCCAAGTAACCTAGCCTTCTTAAAGCTTGACCATACTCAGAAACAGTTTCATCTTTAGAATGTCTCCTTGCTTCAAATTCGCAAACATATGCGGCTTCTCTTTCTCTAGGATTAAATCTATTATTTAAACTTTCTTTAATTTTATTATAATTTCCAAGGTCTTGTTTACTTAAAGTACTCAAAATTTTCTGAGCAGGACCTCTTAGACTCATAACAATTTGTTTAGCTCTTTCTAAATCATTCCATTCATTCCATTCTGCAACTTGTTCAAAATGAATCAAATAGTCTTGCCAGTCGATAGTTTTGCCATCAAATGATTGAGGCTCTTTTTCTCTTCTTACTATACGTTTTTCATGTAAGGTAACAGGGTTTGGCAAGTTATCAAGAAAAGATGTGTGCTTAACCCCTTCATGCCTATTTAAATCATAACTGGGGTATTTTTCAGTTGAATACCTATTTAAGGGTTGATAGTCCTCTGAAAATGTATCCTTATCAACATATCTCTTGTTTGGGAGATAATCTGATCCTTGGTTCTTATTTAATCTATCCCTATCATCATACAATTCATAGCTTGGTCTCCTACTAAAATGTGGCTCTTGGTATCTTTTTGGAGTAAATTTTCTATCTACTTTATAATCTGGATGTTTCAATATAGATTTATCCCTTACTGAATCATCATAGGTTTCAGATAAAGTAACAAATGATTTTAATGGAGTACTAAAATTGAAATCTTTTTCATGTCTATACTTAATTTCATCTTTATCTGAAAATCTATCAGAATGCTCAATTTTTGCTTTATCTTGCTGGCTTATACCGCTTGCATAATCCATTGAATATGCCATTTTACAAAATAACAGAAATGTTTAAGGGCAATTTGTATGGTCACGGCACCAAAATGTGAACGGACTGATCTGACATTCAAGTAAAAGTAACGTTTTCTGGATACCTTCTTACTTAATGCTAGCGCAGTCACGAAATAACCAAATAAACCCAGGTTCTTTACATAAACAATGAAGAC